TGAAGTTTTCTCCTATACACGTTATTAGGAGAAACAAGTTATCATTTCCATAGACCAAAGCTCCCCCTCTAACAAAAAACAAAAACCACCAAACTCCAAAAGATCACCTAAAATTTACAGTTGAGTTATACTTTGGTTGTATAAAATAGCTCTCCTATAAGTGAGTCCCATGTTAGTAATAACAGTAGTTACTGTAATCAAATTTGATCTGTGATACAACACTATGGGTAAAAGAAGGTGCATTCAAATGTCTATAAATTTAAACACATTAGATGATTCTTAAAAAATAGTGTACAGATTGGTTCATTTGGTTGTTTAAACATCTTAGAAGGTATCAACGGAAAGAAATCTACTGGCAACATTAGATTAGAAAACTAAGAAAATACAATTGAATTCAAAATCCTGTTCCTTCCTATGTCATGAGTCAGAACAGAGACATGTGGAATTAAAAGACAAAAGTATACAAACAGGAATTATGAATGAGTTGTCACTGAGATTAATAAGTGCTGTTAGCAAAGAAAAAGAATAGGAATTGGGCACAGAAGTGTAACGGAAAAGTAATAGAGGAGGAGCTGAGTAAAAAGTGCTGAAGTTAAAGCTAAGTATGCTGGCACATGCCATTAATTCCAACATACAGGAGGCAGAACAGGCAGATCTCTGAATTCAAATTCAGCCTGTTCTACATATCAAGTTCCAGGTCAGCCAGGGATACATATAGTGAGCCCCTACACATTTTGGATACATTCTTCCCATGCCTTTTGCCATCTTCTTTGACTCTTAACAACCAAATTTTTTTTTGAGTCTTGTAGGCTATAACTCAATGCTATATATTTCTGGGCAGTTTGTGGTCATTGACATAATATTAAAAGTTGAGTCAATATTCACCTTGACATAATTACAAATTAATGCAAATTTATGTCCCCACATGCCCTTTGTTGTGAATTCAATCACTGGAGCCTAGTCAACCTACCAAGAATCTCAATCCTTATACAAGATTGACTCTTCTCCTAGTAGCCATGCGTTGCCAATGCTTCCCCAGGTAGAGTCTGGGTTTCTTACTTCCCTACATCTATGCTGGATTTTGTCTACACCGAGCTTATGTAGGACTTGTGCATGCTGTTACTATTGCTCTGAGTTCATATGAGTAACTGACCAGCTGTCTGGAAAACTGTTTCCTTATGTTCATCTACCACTCCTGGCTCTTACAACCTCTTCATCTTTCTACCCCCTCTTCTGCAATGATTCCTGAGCCTTGGAAGGCAGAACTTTGATAGAGGTGTCCGTCTGCGGCCTCTTATTCTTTGCATGTTGGCCAGTTGTGGTTCTCTGAAATATATATATAAAATCTTAGAGTGCATGAAAAAATTGATTGGGGATAGTAAAGAGGGGGTGCATATAGGGGAGGGGATCCAAATATAATAAAAATATATTGTATGAAGTTTGAAAATTTTGAATTAAAATTTTTATTTAAAAGGATTTTTAACTCATTAATAAAACAGCTTGAAAGAAAAAAAAGCAAATAGTTTGCATAAAATAAGATGCTCTTGCCCTAAACCTATGTGGCTCTTTACTTATGTGTCATATTACTGTACTGCATAGTAACCACACATATACCAAGGCTGCAGAAATTGGATTTCAGAGTAAGCTGATGTGGTCTCAGAGAAAGGAGTAAATAGAAGAATAGAAGGAAACACCCAAATAGAAGGAAAGTATCAAACCTGGAAACCAAGAACTACCTGCACAGTATGAGTACAGAGAAATCAATAGCCATGTTTGGCAGGTGCTGTGTAGCGTAGAAGAGTAAAGATGAAGCAAGTGGGAAAAGGCAGTCACTGAAGGCTATGCCCCATGAGCTCTTGCAGAGTTACTGCAGGCTTGAGCAGGGGTGAGATAAGTATGCCTAACTAATTAAAAGAGGCAAAGAAGAAAGAAGCATAAAACTAGAGATAAGAGGCTTCCTAAGTGTTCCAGTTGATGTCCTAGAGCTTAGTCAGGAGATGGGCAGTGAAAAGGAAAGGGGTAATGTGAGGGGTAGTGTAAAAGATACACCTAGTTTTGTCCTCAATTAAAAATCTAGAAAATGGTCACCTGTAGTCACTTCAAAGAACTATTTATGTTGACTGGGAAGCAAACTGCCATTATAGTGATCAAATTCATACAAGGTCATACAAAATTTAATGGTTGACAAAGTCATTTAAAAATATTTTATTATTTTTATTTTATGTGTATGCTTGTATTGTCTGCATGTATGTAAGTGCACCCATGTCATGTCCATGTCATGTAATGCCTGAGGAGGCCAGATGAGAGCATCAGATCCCCAGGAACTGGAGTTATAAATGGTTGTTAGCTGCCATGTGGGTGCCGGGAACCGAATCCTGGTCCTCTGCAAGAGCAGCCAGTGCTCTTAACTGTTGAGCCATCACTCCAGTTTCAACAAAGTCATTTTTAAGCTAAACAGAGGCTTGGAAAAAATATTTTGGATATAAGTAAAAATTCCCTTTAAGATCATGATTGTTAAAGACAGTTCTTAGCTGCAATCTGGGTGCTGGGAATTAAGCCTGAGTCCTCTGCAATAGCAGCCAGTGCTCTTAACTGCTGAGTCATCTCTCTAGCCAGGTAAGACCCTATTGCTGAAGAGAAGACATATTTTGGACACAGGACTTGGAGCAATGGAGCTGGAACTGACCTGGAAGCCACCTCCCTGGGGGCTTGCTCTCATAGTTGTAGAGAACACTATGCAAGCTACTAAAGGAGAACATCAGTCTCCTCAGCTCATCAACCCCGGCTTTAAAGACTAATAACTACAATAATGACCAGTAAAGCCAACTATATTGGGGTAGTAGTGGCACTTTTATCTTGGGGGTAGTCAACAGCTACCTAACTGGAAGTAAAGCCCATTCAGTAAAAGGAAATTCATGTCTGGTACTGTAAACAATCCCTAATACACAGGCTGGAGAGGTCATAGGTCTTAGAGAAAACACCAAGGCTGTCACATCCCTAGACAAATGTAATTTCTTACTATGTGCTACATATGGACTCTTATATTTACAGACAAGTATGCCAGTCATTACTCATCAAAGAAGCTTCCTTTACAACAGATGGAGACTATTACAGAGTTCCACAACAGGTCACACACACAGACAGTCTGTGAAATGCCCAACCCTAAGTGACTCATCTACAATGGAACCTTTACACCTAAGGTACATGGAACACAGTAGAACAAAGGGTAGAGAGACTATTAATGCATCTCTCAACTTTCATCAATGAAGTTCCCTCATGCAACAGAGGGTAATGAAAACAAAGGGCCACAAATGGCCATAGTGTAGAGAATAAGAGTCTGCAGAGTGTGAGTCCTTGGACAGGACTCCTATATTAAATTTCACCCACACAGGGCTCAGGGACTATTTCAGAAGAGGGAGTGGAAAGACTGTAATAGCCAGGGGAGGAGGTGCATGACCATATGGAAATAGTCTTATAGGCTCCTGGGACCTTGTTCATATGAACTTATAACAATGAGGAGAGCATGTATAAGATCCATGAAAACTCAAGCAAGCAAAAACCCAGCAGGCTCCAATCTTAGCCAAAGAACTATTGAGCAGCTGATTACTGCTGGGTGAGGAAAAGCTGATCTTCTTAAAGGGAGTGACTCTAGATAGGCTGACTAGACCTCAGTGGATGAACTTGCACTGAGTGATGTCTGGGGACACTAATTTGACTTGATAGGCCTTAACATAAATGACAGAATGTATGAAATTTAGTGGGTCAGGGCTATGGGAGGGTGTCGATGGGGAAGGGGGTATAAAGATGATTACGATGTCGTGTATGAAATAATAAAAACTCAATAAAAAATACAGATCATGACTGCAAAGTGATGAGTATTTTTACATTTCTAAAAGTAATTAACTTACTAATAATGACATGATTGACAGACCTGTTTTCTCTATGTTTGCAAATCTTTTTACACCTCTTTTTGGACATCTATTTTTCATCTTTTGCATACTGCAAACCTATTGCTAATTAAAAGTTCACTTTTTTTGCAAATGCACCCATGTACAAAACTATGAAATAGCTATGCTACAGCTTCTCTCTCTCTCTCTCTCTCTCTCTCTCTCTCTCTCTCTCTCTCTCTCTCTCTCTCGATGGGAAGGCATGGTGGAGATATCAGGCAAAGTGCTGCAGACAAGCCAAATAATGTTAGCAAATGTGTGTGTACATAGCTCATATATTCAGAGTTCTAGGGATCTATCTATCTCCACCCAGCATTTAAGTTACAAACGTGAATAATGGGAATCCAAACTCAAATCCTCATGCTTTGATGGTAAGCACTTTACCAACTAAGCTCTCTCCAAGCCTTCTCTCCCCTTCCTTCCTTCCTCCCTCCCTTCCTCCCTCCCTCCCTCCCTACCTCCCTTCTTTCCTCCCTCCCTCCTTCCTTCCTTCCTCTTTCCTTCCTTCCAGACAGGGTCTTACTGTATAACCTGGTTGCCTGAAACTCACTATGTAGACCAGGCTGGTCTCAAACTCGATAAGATCCATCTGCATCTGCCTCATGAGTGTTGGAAACTCCCTATTTCTTAATATATATATGCTAACTCAGATTCTATTTTCACTTACAGAGGATATTTTTGTTAGGCACCTACTATGTGCTAAGTATTGTGCTGGTACTGGGCACATGATGAAGATTAAAACAGAAAACAAAACAAAACAAAAAAAACCCAGGCATGTTCTCCCACAAGGGAGCTCACAGGACATTAATTTTTAAAGAAATCATTCAGATACATAATTCAAGCCCTATGAAGGAAAATTAGAGTGTATTAGGAAAACTTGAAAGAGGGAAAGTAGACCAATCCTGTGTCTGAGAAGATGTTTTAAAGAAAACTGTCTTTGAACTGAAAACTCTAAGGATGTAGAGGAGTAAGTAAGGAAAGGATTGGGTGACAGGACTAGATGAAAAGTGAGCAGAGGGAAAGAACTGCATACAATAAAATGAAAAGACTGACTTGTTGGGTAATGGTGTCCCACGGTCCCTGTAGCAGCCGTGTCTTATAGCACTCATGGACTCCTTCCCAGATGTCCTTCAGGGATAAAGGTCTCCCATCTGTGAAAGTACATGATAGGACTGAGTTAGTGATCTAGGTGACACAATGGTGCTTGGTATTGATATAAAAGTATCAAGAGAGTTTCACGACTTCTTGAAGAAACTCTACTACTGCACACAATATTTTAGTATCAAAAGTGATACATGAATTACCATTTTATTCCAAAGGGACATTTAAACATTCAATATTTTCCCTTTTTATTCATACAGCAGCTAAAATATCTATCTATTCATTACTTCTAGGGATTTTGCAAAATAAGTAAAAACTACATGTGTTTTAGACAGAACTGACTGATACAAGGATCCGCAAAAATCAGGAAATGGATTCTCATATTAACAGGGATCTCCTATGGATACTTCTGGAACCTTAATGCTTCCTCTAGTCCTTGAAATAAACCACACTCGTGCTTTTTCACTCTCCTGTTGAGTATCAATAATGTTCAAATCACTCTATAGGGTATTAAGCAGAAGGAAAATAAGGAAAACATGATTTCTTGCAGTAAGTACTTACCATCTACTAGGGAAACTAGTAACTTAAAATACTGGGTAGAGAGAGATCTTTGCTAAAGGAAACCCAGAGTGCTCAGATGGTGAGGAGAAAGAAGACACTACAACCCAGTGTCAAGGATGTGGAAAGGGAACTGCTAGGGGCAGAGAAGCCCATGGAAGAACAGGATGGCTTGAAGAGATTCGCAAGAATTTTAGTGAACAATGATTCTTTAATAATTTAGGCAGTTTCAATAATACATCTATATTTAGTGTCCTTTAAACTTAAAATCTTTGAAGAAACAGATTGAGGAAAACACAAGGTGGAAAGACTTCCTGTGCTCATGGATTAGTAGAATACTATGAAAATAACCATCCTACCAAAAGCAGTTTATAGATTCAATGCAATCCCAAACAAAATACCCATGACATTCTTCACAGAAAAAGGAAAAAAAATCTTAAAATTTACATGGAATCACAAAAGACCCCAGATAGCCAAAGTAATCCTGAGCACAAAGAGCAATGCTGGGCGGATTATCATACCAGATCTCAAATGATATTACAGAGCTATAGTCATAAAAACAGGAGGGTCCTGGAGAAAACCCAAATATGACTGCACAAAATTTCAGTCACCTGATATTTGACAAAGATACAAAGAACACACATTGGAGGAAAGACAGCATCTTCAACAAATGTTGCTGGCAAAACTGGATCTCCACAGGTAGAAGAATGAAATTAGACCCACATCTGTTACTCTGTATAAACATCTACTCCAAATGGATCAAAAACTTCAATGTGAAATCTGAAATACTGAAACTGTTAGAAGAAAATATAGATAGTACCCAAAGAACTTTCTAAATCAGACATCAGTCACTCAGAAATTAAAGTCAACAACTGACAAATGGCACCTCATTAAACTAAAAAGCTTCTGCACAGCAAAGGAAACAACCAATTAAATGAAGAGGAAGCCCACAGAGTGGGAGAAAATCTTCACCAGCTATACATCTGACAGAGGATTAATAGCCAGAAAAAAAAGAACTCAAAAAACAAAAATGAAAACAAAAAAAACCCAAAGAATCAAGAAAACAAGACCCAATTAAAAAATGTGTTCTGGATCTGGACAGAGAGCTCTCAAAAGAAATAAAAATGGCTAAGAAACACCTTACAAAGTGTTCAGTCGGTCATGGTGACACACACCTTTAATCCTAGCATTCAGGAGGCAGAGGCAGAGGCAGGTTGGATCTCTGTGAGATTGAGGCCACTACATAGTGAGTTCCAGGCCAGCAGGGGCTACAGGAAAACCCTGTCTTAAAGAGACAAAAAAAAAATTTTCAACATTTTAATGGAAATGTAAATCAAAACTACTTTACGATTTCATCTAACTCTTAGAATGACTAAGATCTAGAGAACAAATGACATCGAATGTTGGAGAGAATGTAGCTCATTCACTACTGGTAAGACTGCAAACTGGTGTAACCAGAATGGAAAGCATTGCCTGTATGATCCAGTTATACCACTCCTTGGCATACACCCAAAGGAATCATCCTACTGCAGAGATACTTGCTTAGCCATGTTTGCTGCTGCTCTTTTCACAATAGCTAAGAGACAGAAACAACCTAAATGTTCTTCAACTGATAAATGGATAAAGAGAATTTGATACAAGATTGGTGTAACTAACCTTGTTGGATGTTTAACAGCCAAATTTTAAGGCCTACAGTAATCTGGTCAGAGGGACTTAAAGGGACAAATTTTTGTTCCCTGCCCTTCAAGGTCAAACAAGTTCCAGGGGAGCATCTCTTGAAATGTCCTGTAATTTTGGAGAGTCACCTGTCCTCTTGTGCAGGGAGGCCATGGAGACCCCAGAAGATGGACTTCAACCAGTGTCCAGTCTGTAAAGAGGAGGGTCAACACAGAGGAAACATTTCCTCCATGCTTCCAAGAGAAGCCCCGGTCAAGCAGGACCTTTTGACTTATCTTTACATAGATGGAACTGGTAAAAGAAAAGCGTGAGGAGCCAGGGACTCCCCTCAAGCCCATGTGACCCCTGAGGACCAAATCCTCATACGACCTTAAGAGTAAAAATAAATTGGTTCATTTGGGCCAACAGTATGGTCTTAAACACTGAAAAGGAAAGTATAACCAAAAATTAAAGTCATCAATATATTTAAAGGGTTCAAGGGATTATACAACTCAGACATTAGATGTAAGTTCTTAGGTTATTTAGACAATTATCTCTCATTGATGATTTTGTTCCTAATAAGACAATTCTACTCAGATGTAAGACTTCAATTCTTGGTCTACAACACTGTAGTGCCCACTTACCACTAAGGGAGGCAACCCACTATTGTTCTAGCCTAAAAAAATTAAATGATGGCTAAATTTGTTTTCTCTCCCTATCTAGAAGCCTTTGAGAGGTAACTGACACTGATTCTACCCACTCCAACAGCTATCAAAATGCCTGAAAACAAATCCTGAGTCCATCACTCTCAAGTTCAGCCCTGGCAGAAAAGAAAAAGAATGAAAAATGAGCTATTACCTTGGTGCTAACCATTGTTCCTTGCCTCTTCAGATATTTTCAGGACCAAAATCCAAAACTAACTCTTACTCTCATACTAATTTTAATCAGTTGTTACTTTCCTTCCCTCCACATGTATACAAGCATCTGTCAACCATCGAGGATCCTGCTGAGATGCATGACGAGGGAACCCCCGCTGTCTGATCAACCCCTAATCCAGATCTCCCCCACATCGACCCTGTCCAGCAGGAAGTAGCACACAAAAGGCTGGAATGTTAAGGTTCAGATAGCCCTGCCCCCTCACCAACAGGGTCTCAAGGACTTCTCAAGTGCCTGAGAAAAGGGAACCTAGCTGATAAGCACCTTGGTCTTTGAAGTCAAGAGAAGCAGACTTTTCTCCACTGTTTGGCCAACACAACAGGCTTCCCCTTTGAGCTCTAAAGAGAACAGGTTTTAACCGTCCCACTCTCCCACTTCCCCCTGCCCAACTTTAAAAAAAATAGATCTTTCCGCCTTCTGCAGGAAGCAGAAGCCTCCCCGTTAAAAAGACTCCAGCTCATGACCCGGGCAGACATTTTCCCTGCCCAGAAGGGAATCTGTCCCATGTTTTCCTTTGCTAATAAACTCTGCTTTCTCCTGATCAACCCTATTCGTCATACAGCTACTTTTTACCTATTAGTCACAACTAGCCAAAGTGCAGGGAATAAGAGACTCCAGAATGCTTGTCTCTGGGTAGGATACCTATATCAAACCTCTGCCACCCAGGGGGTTCAGGGACCATTGTAGAAGAGGGGGCAGAATGACTGTAAGAGCCAGAGGTGGAGGATGACAACAAGAATACGTAGTTTTCCAGGCTTCTGGAAATGTGCGCATATGAACTTACAGCAATGGTGACAGCATGCACAAGACCCATGCAAGGTCAAACGAGACAAAAACCTGGCATATAAGTGGGGAAACGGATAAGAAGCCCCAAGCTTAGCTGAGGAACTCTTGGCAACTAATAACTACTGGAAGAAGCAGAGTTGGTTTTCTTTAAGGGAATGATGCTAAATGGGTTGACCAGGCTCCAGAGGATGGCATCAAATCAAGGAACATTTGGGGACACAAACTTGGCATGATAGGCCTTAACATATATGGGAGAATGCATGAAACCTGGCGGGAGGGGCATAGGGCTATATGAAAGGAAAGGGGGTCTAAATATGATCAAGATGTGTTGTATGAAATTTGTAAAAATTCAGAAAAAACTCAACAAAAAACAAAGAAAAAGAAGATGAGACTTTTTCCTTAGGTCACTTGAAGAAAAAAATATCATGTACTAATCATTAGATCCAAAAGAGTGCAACAGAACTCAGGAAAATATTCAAAAACTAAAAACTGGGGTTGGAGAGATGGCTCTGTGATTAAGAGCACTGGGTGCTTTTGCAGAGGACCCATGTTCAATCTTGAGCACCCACATGGTGGCTAACAAGCCATCCATAACTCCAATTCCAGGGGATCTGATGCCCTCTTCTGACTCCCATGGGAATTGCATGACATGGGCACACTTACATAGATGTAATCGGTACACTCATACACATAAAATAAACACAAATGAAATATTTTTTAAAAAACTAAAAATCACTGTAGTGTTCAGACTCAGAGAATAGCAAGAAATGCAGGACATAAGGGAGAAGCACTAGGTTTAAAATCTGAGCTAAGTTTAAAATTGGGCTTGGCAATTGCTCTCCATGTGACTCTAAGTTATTTTTCTTTTAACTTTTCTTAAAAACTGAGGCTAATAAGCCTTTTCAAATTTTGTTCTCATGAGGTTTATATTAATGAACTCAGTCAGGACCATTAGGGTCACAATAAAAGCTCAGTAAATAATGGGCATCTCTGAGCTTGCACGCCCATATTCAGTAATTCTCAAAGCTAAAGATTCATTTCTGAACTGTTGTTTCTTAGAATTGCCCCCCTGCTTCCACTTCATGCACCATTTTGATATAGTAATACACTAATA